GCCCAGTGCCGGCCGCACCCACACGCCGGCCGGCCGCTCCCCCTCCTCCTGCCCCTCCCTTTCCTCTCCCGGCTTCCGTTTGTGTGCGTTGTTGCGACGGGCAGGCTCGGGGCGTCCTGCGTCCTGATGGCGTTGTCCTGCAGGACAAAGGCGAGGAGGAGAAGGAGGAGGTGGTTCGTGGAGTGGGCTGTCTTTACCCGCGCCCCCTTTCCACCCTTGCCCCATACGCCCCACGCCAGCTGCCCCCCCCCCCCCTTTTCCCGCGGTGACCGCACACCCGCCGCCGTCGCGAGGTATAACGTCAAGGGGTAACTCGACCTCCTAGCCGCGCGCCAGGCCCTCCCTGCCACGCCACGCCGGGGAGCCGTCATACGGTTTCCGTTGAACACGAGCCGAGTGCAAGGGGGACACGCGGCGGGGGTTTGGTGGGCGGGCGGCGGGGACTGTCGGCGGCGGAGGGCAGTAGTCGTTACCGTCACGTGGTGATGTCACCGGCCGCCGGCCCCCTGCCGACCAGCAACAGGGAAAGGGGAAGGGCAAGGGCCCCACCGTCACCGCCCAGCCGTATATGTGTCCGTCCGTCCGTGTGTCTGCAATTTTCAGTCAAGTGGAAGTCCCCGTGGTGCGCGGGCGCGTAGTGCCATGGATGCAGCTGTACGTGTGGGGGAGAGCCGTGTGTGAGAGGGCCGCCCCGTTAGCTCACCCGCGCCCGCTTGCATTCCCCTTGTAGGTCGCCGTGCAGCTGTCAAATGGGCAAACGCCATGAATATGCATGGCCCCGCGGCGAGCAGCGCGAGGCGGCCGCGGAGCGGGGCGGGGCGGGGCGGGGCGGGGCGGGGCGGGGCCATAGGCGGCGCGGCTCCGGCCGGCCCTGCTCGCTCTGCTCATGAGGTTCATGACGTGCCGGCCGCGGGGGAGGAGCAGCAGCAGCGGCGGCGGCCCCGGGAGTCACCTGTCGCCAGGGCGCTGCTGCTCGAGCCACGCCGCGCGCAGGGCCGCGCCGGGCCCAGCCTCATCTGCAATGCTGATGGGGCGTGGCGGGGTTGCCGTTTACCCCCTCCGCCCGCCCGCCGCCTCTCACTCACCAACACTCTCGCCCGCTCCCCCGCGTGTCAGGCCCGCTTCTCTCTCTCACTCTCTCTCACTCGCTCTCGCTCTCTCTCTCTCTGTTTGTAATTGCCCGCCGCGCCGCCTACCGCCGTGCAAGAGCTGTCAGCAGCGACAACGACGTCGGCCGTTTGCTCGCGCGTAGAGCACACGCCATCATACCGCCACGCACGCACCCCGGGCGCTGCGCAGTGCTGCGGTGGGTGGACGCGGCCGCGGCGCCGGCGCACGCTCTCGCACTCTAAAGCCGTGCGGCGGCACGAGACGGCGCCGCCGGCACCGCCGGCACCGCGGCGTCATCGTCGCGTCTTATCGTCGTGGCTCGAGTGCATTGACATGACAGCCGAGCGAGAGCCGACTGTCCGCGGTCAGAGCGTCGTCGTGGGTGTTGGCGACGCCGAGGGGGCGGAGGAGGACGTCGCCCGCGAGAGAAGGAGAAAGGTGTCGCGGCCGGGGGTTGGTTATACCCTCCAACTTCTCCCCCCTCACTCACTGAATCTTATGGGTCCTTAACTTTCAGTTCATTCCGCCCCTCCAAGCTCCCCCCTCTGTGGCTCTCCCCTCCCCCGCTGACCAAGGACAGAGGGCGGGCGCGGGCGGACGCGGGCACAACGGGTCCCGTGGGAAGGATTCAATCGCAGCGTTACGGTCGCGCTCGCCTTGAGGCGGCCGCGGGGGCCGGCCGGGCATGCGCGACCACGTTACCCCCGCGGGTCGTCGGGTCCTGCTGCTTGTGCTGCTGCCGCGCCCGCCTCCTTGCCGGCTTGTTTGTGTCCTCTCTGTTTTCGAGTGTGTCGCCTCGCCCGCGTTGCCCGCGCCGCGCTGGTTTTCCCTCTCCGAATGTTTTTGTTTTGGGGGCCGCGCGGGAGCTGCGCCCGCTGCGTCCTGCTGGCTGCGCCGGCGCCGCCGGGGGAGGATGTGTGTGCCCTGGCTGGCCTATTGTGGGGGCTTGGGCGGCTGCTACTGCTGTCCGCCGCCGCCGCCGCCAAGCTGTAGAGTAGGCCACGAACGTCCTATCGCATCGCAGTGTCAATTTACACGGAGAGATAGCAGCTCCAGCGACAGTGTCTGTGTGTGTGTCTGTGTTTGGTAGCTTGTACTTGCATCGCGTCAAAATACACTCACATACACACACATACACACTGAGAGAGGCTCGGGGGGTGGTACATGCATTGCATACATACATGTATACATACACGGGCTCGGGCGGGCCGTGCATGCAGGTTATTGTTTTGATTTATGTTGGCCCTTGAGCTATTTATGTCCGCGTCCTTCCCCCTCTCCACGAGCTCGTACTTGGCGCGCGGGGACAGAGGGGGGAGGGGGAGGAGGTTGTCATCCTGCGAGAACGTCGCGCCCGCTGGCCGCTGCTGCTGTGTTGCTCTCTCTCCAAGTGGTGGAATAACAAACAAAACTGCGTTGCTGCCATCGGGTCCAGTACTGTACACGCACGGCCGCGCCGCTCGCGGGGCCGCTATCACTGTCGCTCTCGCGCGATGAGGTTGGGTGTTGTTCTCCTTCTCCCTCGCGCGCACGGCTTCGACGCCACGCCGCCGTCGGCCCGCCGGGCTCGCTGCTCGAAATAGAGCCGCGCGACCCGCCGGTACCCGTGCCGGTACCCGCCGGCCGGGAGGTCCATCTTGGCAGCGCTCGTGAATGGTGCCGCCCTCGTGGCCCCCGGGGACCCCGCGGGTGCACGCGGCGACCCGACCTCGGCTCCTCGCCCTCCAGGGGCCTGTGCAGCCCCTGGACACCTCCACCATCACGGTACACGTACACAGTAGTTGTACCTCCCCCCGCTCACCCCCGCGCCGTGCCGCGGCACCACGCCACGCAACCGTGCCATCAGAGGACACGAAGACGCTCGCGCTCCGGTGACTGCTAATGCGACCCCCTCCTCCTACTCCTGCCCCTCACCCGCCGGGCCCCTGCCCTGCCCCCTGCCCTGCGACGCACCCAAATCGTGTAAGGATACGAGGATGGGCTTGCCTTGTCACCCGGCTCAGAGGCTTCCCTTGTGGGCCAGCCTTACAAGACCACCCCCCGCCTTCCCCCGCGGACCCCTCCTGCTCATCCTGACCCCCCTTCTGACCCTCCTCCTGCCGCCTGCCCGTGTGAGCGTTGGTTCGGCTGTCCCCCGTGCACTCTGTCCGTTCACTCCACAGTCCCTGTCTCTGAGCCGGCCGGCATTCCAGTGAGTTTCGAAGGATAAACCTGGCGTCCAGCAGATACCCCTTCCACATCGACGCACACACTGTCCCGCACCATCCTCTCCCCTTTCCCTCCACTGTCCCCCGCGCTTTGCCACCTTTTCATTATTTTTCCCTGCTTCTCCCATCACGGTCTTCCTCTCTCTCTATCCACCTCTCTCACTCTCACTCTCTCGTAAGCGCCGGCCCGACCTGGCTTGATGGTGGCGCGCGCTCTCTCTCTCACTCCAACGCCAAGGTTGTTCTCTGCCGGCAGCGGGGCAATGGCCCCACGGGGGCACGGCCACGCCACGGCCACTCCCCTTCATCTCCCCCTCCCCCTCCCTCCCTCCCTCTCTCCATCTCACTCTCCCTCCCCCTCCCCCTCTCTCTCTTTCTCTCGAGACCCCTTGTCCGCCCCTACCCTACACCACCGGCCGGCTCCACTCCGTCAGAGCATCGGCCCGGCCCCCGCCCCGCGACCATTACCCCTTCACCCCCCTTCCCTCCTCTCTCCCTCCTCCTCTCTCCCTCCCCCCTCCCCTCCCCTTCCTCCGCGGCCGCGAGTCCTGCTGGGCACCGCCGCCTGCTCGCCACGCCACTCTTCCGTTACATACTCAGTAAAATCATTATCAAGTCAAAACGCGCGGCGACGCAACTCACACGGCCGGGCGGCTTTTTTTGGGAGGAAGGGTT